TGACGTAAGCGAGTGCGCGTTAGTGACAACAGCTGTGTGCAGATCAACAATGGATCACATATCGATTGTGGGAGAGAGTATGAGCGTGCAGCGTTTAAAGCGTGGAAGTACTGACCTTACTTTGAGTTTGATTCCATAAAAAGTGACAAAAACATTAGCGTCCATGTGCGTGGGAAGAAAACTTCTTTTTACAGCGAAAAAAACCCCTAAACTTCCAAGCAAGCACCGAGTGCGCATGACGTAATGGGAAACTCACAGAGAAACTCGCGGATTCTTCAACTGACCGCGGCACACCTGCACCAGGGTAAACCTCCGCCTACCCTCCTGCTTTACAGGTGAAAATAGAGCAACAGGACCGCTGAGTCTTTGACTTTATTTATTTTCTGCTGTGTTTTACTTGCATCTATTTGAAAGAGTGAGTGTAAACACAAAAAATATTTTATTTTATGTGCTGGAATGTGCAGAAAATAGGTTTAAATGTTAAACTAATTTATTCAAGTCAGAGAATGTTGCATATAATTAAATTTTTGCTTGATGCATAAAGTTAAAAGATTAAAACTGATAAAACAAGTTAAAAAAAGAGACTTTTCCATTTGATTACATTTTGTATGATGGATTATGCAGAAAAAGTAGAATTGGGCTGAAAGATCTATCGCTTTATCACCTCTTCAGGTTGTAAATCGTGTTTTTAAAAAGTAACTAAGTAACTAAGCAATTAATTACTTTTGAAAATAAGTAATCAGTAAAGTAACAGGATTACTTTTTTGGGGAAGTAATCAGTAATTAGTTACTGATTACTTGACCAACACTGGCTACAACTACCCAAGCTGTTTCAGTTTGCATGGTCTGACGTGTCCCCGAAAATAAAACAGTTTGCTGCAAGGGCCATTTAGCTCAGGCTTTGAGTCAGACTGAGGTCAGGTCGCGTCACAGCCGCGAACAAACTGCTCCTGAATTTGCTTAAGACCAGACTGAGACCGTTTCCTCTAAAGGGTTTCTGTGCTGTTGTTTTGCTCTATATCCAAGTTTCTTTACACCTCTCCAGACCACCGCTTAATTTTCCGTTTTAATTTAGATATTTTTCTGTATATGAACTTGTGCACCTGACATCCCTCTCTCTTGAAGCAGTGAGCATGACACATTATTTAACCTTATTGATGCCAATTTAGAAACTTTGTAACTAAATTTAGCACTTTTTCATACCCCTGTTAAATGCTTTTTCCTCTAAAAATGCACCTAGCAGTTTACTGTGGTGTCACAGACAGTAAGCAGCTGCTCTTATGAACGCGAGTTTGATGGAGCCCTGTCCATCCATTTGGACTTTCCAACCAATGTCTTAGGTACCCAGTACTAATGGCTGTCTTAATTCTTGATGGCACAGATTCACCAAGGTGCTGGAAGCATTCCTTTTTGGACCTTATTGATATGACAGCATCACACAGTTGCTGCAGATTCATTGGCTGCACATCCATGATGAGAATCCCCGTTCCCCTATCCCAAACGTGCTCTATTGAATTTTCTGTTGCCCTGATCACTGTGGAGACCATTTGAGTACAGTGACCTCATTGTCATGTTCAAGAAACCAGTCTGAGATGTTCTGAGCTTTGTGACATGGTGTGTTATCCTATTGGAATCAGCCATCAGAAGATGTGGTCAGAAAAGGATAGACATGGTAAGCAACAATACAACAAGACCCTTTGGTGGTGTTTAAGCGCTGCAAAGGGTTGTCGTGATGTTTACGCCAGCTTTACCATCTTAGTGTCAAAGCAGAAACTGACACTCATCAAACCAGGCAACGTTTTTCAAGTGTGTCACATGTAGCTGTAATGCTCAGTGTTGTGTCCTCTCTGGCTGCAGAGAAACCAGAGACATCCAGACTACAACTGAAGCTCTGGAGCTTTGAAAAAAAGACAGGTATTTGGGGTGCCCTTGTTTTAGTAGTACTTAAATACTGTCTGTTTTATATTTTAGTAACCCAAGAAAGAATATGCATAAAAACAATGGCTGATTTATTATTGTTTTTACTTTCGTTTTAATCAAAGTTGAATGTCTCTGTAGATTTGGACACAAAATTTTTTGAGGGACGGGTTTTGTAATTCTGATGTGACATTTAGAAAACATGACACTTCACAGTGAAAATGTCAGAGAAAACTGTTACCTTTGTTTGCTAAAGACAAAAAACAAAGGTCAGTGCATGAGCGCTTGTCACAGTGTCACGTCAGCTGTTGTTTGGAATGAAGGTATGAAGGTCAGATATTGTATGCAAACATGCCAACACACACACACACACACACACACACACACA